TTTGTAGATACTTTTTCAGGATGGACTGAAGCCTTCCCTACTAAACATGAAACAGCTCAAATGGTGGCAAAAAAGCTGTTGGAAGACATCCTCCCCAGTGCAGGGGCCTGAGGCAGAAGGCAGAGGGAAAAAAGGCCAAAAGAAGCAGCTGGACCAGCTTTAAAAGACCGTTGGTGGGCCCCCACCAACTCCTGTATCTCATCTCAACACCTGGACCTGCTATGAGGAAGAAAAACCACACCCCGCTGGGGGGAGGAGATTCCTGCCCCTGGCCCTGCCATGTGGGCAGAGGGAGATAAAAAATGGAAACTTAACTGATCGGGGAAACAAAAACCTAAAATGCTAATTGGTGGACTTATAACTATGACCAATCACATCTCGGGGGAGGATGGGGGGCAAAACACCCAATACTCACAAATGTATATAAACACCTGCCTGCTGCTTAATAAATGAGATCCTGCAAGACAGACTCCCTGCCTCCTTGGTGGTGCCCCGGGAACGGAGGGTTAGGACGGCAGCGCACTTGCCTCTCCTCGGCCCTCATCCTGCTGCTTGCGGGAGTGGGGGGGAAGGCCCCGCACCCAGGTATGGCTTTCCACAGATGATAGGGTCAGATAATGGACCAGCTTTTGTGTCCAAGAGTGTCCAAGATAAGTCAGAGTCTGGCCACAGTTCTGGGGATTGATTGGAAACTACATTGTGCTTATAGACCCCAGAATTCAGGACAGGTAGAGAGAATAAATAGAACTCTAAAAGAGACCTTAATTAAATTGACCTTAGAGACTGGCGGTGACTGGGTGACTCTCCTTCCATTCGCCCTCTATCGAGTACGTAACTCCCCTTACCAGATGGGATTAACCCCCTTTGAGATCATGTTTGGAATGCCCCCTCCCATTATTCCTAACCTCCAGGCAGAAAAGATTATAGCTTAAACTACGTGCTCTTTATGAGACAGGACCCCCTTCAGAACCTCATCGCTATTGACTCAGTGACTGGGTCTATGTTAAGAGGCACTGGCAAGGATCCTTGAGCCACAGTGGAAGGGACCCTATGTCATCCTACTGACCACTCCCACAGCCCTCAAAATGGATGGTGTAGCATCATGGATACACCACACACATGTACACCCAGCTGACCCATTCGCCGTAGAGGACTACAAACCCCCAGCTTCAGGATCGAGAGTTTCAAAGGACCCCAACAATCCACTCAAGCTAAAGCTCACCCGATTTTCAAACTGTTGACTGTATATACTCTGTTCCCCATGATAGCTGCTCCTGCTCCAGGAAGCCCGCATCAACCTATGAATCTTGACTTGGGTCCTCCAAGATGTAATAGGAGGTAATATATTGTTTCAGATCTCCCAAGTAGCGCCTCCAGCTACTTGGTTCCCAACTCTGCACTCCCGTTTAGATGCTTTCTTTTATTTCAATCCTAAGGGAGGCGCACATCCTCATGCTCTAACTAACTCTCCAGGACCATACAGAAAACCAGGCCAGTTCTATGTTTGCCCAGGGCCTGGAACTCCAAAATACAAGTCCCAGAGAAACAGGTGTGGAGAGGATAGCGCTACTTACTGCACTCGATGGGGCTGTAAAACAACGGGACACATATGATGGATGCCTCAGGGAGGAGATCTTATTAAGGTAATGTGGGAAAAACTGACACTCACTAATCCTCATAAAAATGGAAGGCTCAATATTAGTTTTACTGAAGAAGGAAAGAGAGCCACCGGCTGGGAAGTGAAAAAAATTTGGGGAATAAGACTATGTGGGTTGGACTGAACCAGATCCAGGAACTTTATTCTCTATTCAATTGAAAGTAAGAGTTCCTCAGTACCAGACCCATTCAGTCCCCTTGGGACCAGGTGCTGTTTTCAAGGTTACCCCAGAATCAATCTTGTCAACCACAGTGGCCCCCTCAAATAATGGTTATTCTGACAGCCATGGCCTTCCTATAGGCGACACTGACCCCCTTTGGTCACTAATGGTCCAGACTTACCAGGTACTCAATGATACCAGGCCAGACCTTACCTCATCATGCTGGTTATGTTATTCATCAAGGCCCCCATACTATGAGGGGATTGTAGGAAACTCCACCCTAGTGCCGGACTAAGGCAGCTGTAGATGGGCTCAGCAGGAAGGAATCAGGCTTACGCTACAAGATGTTTCAGGATGAGGGTTATGTATAGGCATGCCCCCTCATGAGTACACTGCCCTATGCAAGCAGACTCTTCCAGTGCTGGCCAGTAACTCGTACTTGCTACCACCAGATCAAGGATGGTGGGCATGTACTTCAGGATTAACCCCATGTGTCCATTCTAAAGTTCTTAATCATCAGATTTTTGTGTTCTAGTACAACTAATTCCCTAGAATTATTTATCACTCAGACCAGGATATAAATAGGGCCCTGACCTGGCAAGGACCCCTTCACCGGAATCATCAGGAAAGAGAAGTTGTTACTGCCATCACCCTATCCGTTCTGGGATTAGGACCGGCAGGAGCAGGTATAGAAATTTCAGCCTTAACCTTACAAAGCCAAAACTACCATAGCCTTAGAGCCACAATAGACATGGACATCCAGAACTCAAAAAAGTCTATTTCCCATCTACAAGAATCCCTAACCTCCTTGGCAGAAATGGTTCTGCAGGAGAGGCCTAGACCTGTTGTTCTTGCAGCAGGGAGGCCTCTGTGCTGCCCTTAAGGAAGTGCTGTTTATATGTAGATCACTCTGGGGTTGTCAAAGAATCCCTGGCCAAGGTGAGAAAAAGTCTGGCTCAAAGAGAGAACAAATATAGGGCTAAACAAGGATGGTTTGAATCCTGGTTCAATAGCTCCCCTTGGTTGACCACTTTGTTTTCAACCTTACTTGGACCCCTCCTCATTCTGATTACGCTCTTAACTTTTGGGCCTTACATTTTAAATAAATTGGTAGCTTTTATAAAAGAGTGGCTAAGAGCTATCCAGCTAATGGTAATGTGAACCCACTACCAGTCCTTCCAGAGTCTGGGTGATAAAAACAACATGAGATGAGGGAGCGCCCATGATTGGGTCCCCAAGGTACTAGTCAGAGGGGGGAATGAGAGACCTGAGTGACTCCATCTTGGATAAAACCTCCATAGGACTGACCCAGCCCTGGGCCCTGTTCCAAGAAAAACCACAATACTTGGAACGGATAGAGAACAACTCCCCTGTCTTTTTGAGACAGGGTCTCCCTGTAGCCCCAGCTGTCCTGGAACTCACTACGTAGACCAGGCTGGCCTTGAACTCACAGGGATCTGCCTACCTCTGCCTCCCAAGTGCTGGGATTAAAGGCATGCACAACCCCTCCTGGTTAGGAACTAATTTTTTAAAAAATTAGATTTCACAACAAAATCCTACAGCCAGAAGACTGTAAGAAGTCATTTCTAAATTGTTAAAATGGGGTCTCTGTAAAAGGCTTGCCCTGTAAGTATCAGGACCTGAGTTCAGATCCCCAGCACCGATGTAAAAAGCCAGGTGTGGCAACACATGCTTATAAACCCAGTGCTAGGGAGGCAGCAGAGACAGGAGGAACTCTGAGTCTTGCTGGTTAGTCAGTCTAGATGAACTGATAAACCATAGGTATAGTGAGAGACCCCCATCTCAAAAAACTAGGTGGAGCTGGGTGTGTGCCTTTAATCCCAGCACTTGGAGGCAGAAGGAGGCCAACTTGGTCTACATAGCCAGTTCCAGGCCAGCTGGGGCTATAGTAAGACCCCGTCTCAACCCCAACCCCCCCACCCACTCAAATTTTAGGTGGAGAGCAATTAAGGAAAACACCTGACGTCAACCTCTGCCCTTAACATGTACAGATACAGGAACACATACACACACACTAAATATGTAATAGAGAAAACTGGCCTTAAAAAGTTTAATGCAAATCTTTGGTTGGAGCCATGACCATTATTGTGGCTTTAAACCCATATATGTGTATATATTCTCCATGAATTTTATTGGTAGCTTAGCGATAACTTTGGTTTTAAAAAATATTTTATGTGTATGAGTGTTTTGCCTAAGGTAAGTGAACCACATGCATGCAATGCCCACAGAGGCCAGAAGAGGGTGTTGGCTCCCCTGGAACTGGAGTTACAGATCATTATTAGCCACCAAGTGGGTGCTGGGAATTGAACCTAGGTTCTCTGGTAGGACAGCAAGTCATCTTAGCCACTGAGCCATCCTTCCAGAAACAACTATTTGTAAATGGAAAAGATTCCCCCTTTGCAGGTACTCCCAGCAAATGAACTTTGCTAAATTTTCTCAACTATCCTGGTACCACATGTATCACTTGAGTTGGTCTTCATTCTCTCCTACCCTCTTCTGGTATTAAACAAGAGGCAATTTGTTAAAAATTGAAATCCATCCTCATCTTTCTATAAACATGTACTCTAGTTTCTAGTAGCATGTCTAGGGCAGAGAGATTAGCACAAGCATCTTTGCCCTGGAAATTTATTACAATAAGAAACTGATCAGCAGGGCGCAGTGGTGCATGCCTTTAATCCCAGCACTGAGGAGGCAGAGGCTGCGGATCTTTCTGAGGCCAGCCTGGTCTACATAGTGAGTTCCAGCCCAGCTGGGACTACAGGGAGGCCCTGTCTCAAAAAATTTTTAAAAAAAAGAAAAAGAAATTGATCCTTATTGAGCAAATATTTAGTGCACTCCTAACTGGTACCAAGCTCTCTAGACACTGGAAATTCAGGTGTGAACAAGACTAACAAATTCCTTGCTCTCAAGAATTTACAGTGTGGTGAGAGAAACTAAAAAGCTGCCTGACAGTGCTAATGGGTACTCTGAAAACCAAACAGTAAAAGATAGTGTGGTTGGGGTGGGCATGTGGGTATGTTGGGGTGTCAAAGACCTCTTTAACGTCATAACTCCTCGCAGGGTGAAATTTCTCTAGACAATCATTCTATCCAAATTACTGTCTATTTCCATCGTGGACTGGATAGGAATAACCCCAGAAGAATGGTGAACCGGCTGCCCTACCTGCAATGTGCGGCCTGGTGGGATACTGTTCTAGAAGTAACTTGGGTTTTTCGAATCCATCCACTTCTTGCAGGCGACTCTCTAGTTCCTTAAACCTTAATTTCTTCATTTTCTCTTTTTAGTGTGGGCTCCGGGCTTAACGCACAGGACTTGCAGGGAACTCTCTAAACCAGACCCTTCCTTCCTAACCACGGCGTGTACTTGGAGGGTCGGCGCAGGCGGGGGCGCGCAGAGGACGCGGGGACTTGGCACTCGGAGCACACAGGCCTCCCAGGCACTGCCCCGCCACCGGCTGCTGGGAGACTGGCGCGCGACCTCTCGCTAGGCGACTTCCCGTGCGACGTCCGGACAGTTCCCCCAGGCGACCCTCACCGCAGCGCCGGAAGAGCCGCCGCGCACGCGCGCACCCAGCGGCTGGGTACCCAGCTGCAACCTGTGCCGGTCGACTGGGTTCCGTGCCCGCCCGAGTGTTTTTTGATCCGCCACTGGAGGAAGCAGCTTGTGTCTTAGACCTCGCCAGTGGAGAAGCCCGGAACTCCAGCTTGCCTGCTGCCTAGAGGCATCACGGTGGGGAGAGGAGGAGGGCGGCGCGTGACGCAACGGGAAAGCCACGCTTGCTTTATATACAGGCCAGTGTGACCTTTTGCTGCGTTTCCCTCGAAGCTTCTCAAAAAGTAATGATCTACACCCACCTTTCCTTCCTTCTCCATTCCCAAGCCCCATTTTGTGTCCCCCTTCTGAGTCACTTGTGTCTCTTAACTCCCAAGGGGGTCAGAGAAACGCTCCGAGAAATCTAAGCAGTTTTTGTTTTTTTTTTAAAAAAGAATAGCCTGGGCGTGGTGGCGTACGCTTTTAATCCCAGCCCTGTGGAAGCAGAGGCAAGTGAATCTCTGAGATCTAGGCCAGCCTGGTCCACATAGCGAGTTCCAGACCAATGGGGGTTGTGTAGTAAGACAGAATATTGGGGAAGAATATGGCGGAGAATGAGATGAGGCTCATCAAAGTGGGAAATTGTAGTGGATTGTGGAGATAATGGAAGTTTAAGAAGTAGAAACTACAAAAAATGTTAAATCCAGGAGGCAGAGGCAGGCAGATCTCTGTGAGGTCAGCTAGAGCTACATAATGAGCACATGTATAAAAAAAAAGGTATAAAAGTGTTTTTAATAAAAGGTTGGAGGAAAGTTTTGTTTTAAAACATACATTTCAGTTATTTGAACCTAGAATTTTGTGCATTTTCCTCTTAATATTTCCAATCAGATAGGAGCCAAGAGCTCGTCTAGAGTCTATTTTTGTAGATTTTATTTATTTTTATTTTATGTGTATGAATGTTTTTGCCTGCATGCATGTATGTTAGGTACAACATGTGCATGCAGTGCTTGTGGAGGCCAGAAGAGGGCACCGATCTCCTGGAACTGGAGTTTTGGATGATTGTTGGCTGCCATGTGGTGCTGGAAACTGAACCTTGGGTCCTATGGAAGAGCAGGTTAAGTGTTCTTAACCTCTAAGCCATCTCTACAGATCCCTTAAAATTGTTTTTGTTTGGTCTAAATTCTAATAGAATGCAGACAGCAGGAACTGGAGAGATGGTGCAGCAATTAAGAGCACTGGCTCCTCTTGCAGAAGACCCAGGTTGGAATCACAACCTCTATGTGACCACTAACAACTTTCTCTAACTCCAGTTCCAAGGAACCTCAATGCCCTCTTCTGGCCTCAATGGGCATTGCATGACACGGGTGCAAGACTCATAAACAAATTTTTAAAAATTTAAAAAAAGAATGCAGACAACAGAAAGAGAGGTGTTTAAAATACAGGAAAGGTCAGTTGTGCTGATGCATGCCAGTAGGACATGCTGAAGAGGCTGAGGCAGGAGGACCAGGACCTGGGCTACATCTTGCTGGGTCTGAGAGTATACACCTTTAATACCAGTATTTAGGAGGCAGAGGCATGAGGACCTCTTGAGTTTGAGCCCAATCTGGTCTACATAGTGAGTTCCAGTCCAGACAGAGATGCACTGTGAAACCCTGGAGAGACAGAGAAAGTGAGAGACAGACAGACAAAGAGAGAGAGAGAGAGAGAGAGAGAGAGAGAGAGAGAGAGAGAGAGAGAGAGATCAGCTGCCAAACCTGATGATTGAGTTTGATTCCCAGGAGGAGAGAACCTGTTTCTGAAAGTTATCTTCTGACTGCCACAGGCAGGTTGTGGTGCATGCTTGCTCCCGCCCCATCATGTACACAGAAATAATAATAAAATTAAAAAGAAAAGCTGGGGCCGGAGAAGTGGCTCAGTGGTTAAGAGCACAAACTGCTCTTGCAAAGGATCCAGGTTCAATTTTCAGCATCCACATGGCAGCTAACAACCATCCGTAAGGGATCTGATGCCTTCTGACCTCCATGGACATTGTGTGACACGGGCACACTTACACACATGCAGGCAATACACTCATACACATAATAATAAATAAAAAAATTTTTTTGTCTTTTTGAGACGGTCTCCCTGTAGCCCCAGCTGTCCTGGAACTCACTATGTAGACCAGGCTGGCCTTGAACTCACAAAGATCTGCCTGCCTCTATTTTTTAAAAGTTGAAGTCAAGTTGGGTGTGGTAGCACATGTCTTTAATCCCAGCACTTGGGGCAGAGGCTGAGCAGGCAGATTATTTTGATATATCACAGTGAAAGATTTATCGTCCTCTTTTTTTTTTTTTTTTTTTTTTTTTTTTAAAAAAAAAAAAAAAAAAAAAAAAAAAAAAAAAAAACCAAAAAAAAAAACCTGATGTCAATTTTTTCTCTTTTAAAAATTAAATTGAATTTATTTTTAGATAATGGTAGATTCCTATGCAATCATAAAAAATGATATACAGAGAGCTAGGGGGTAGCTCAGTGGTAGAGCACTTGCCTAGCATACATAAGGCTCCCAAGTTTAATCTTCAGCAACACACACACACACACATACACACATATTGTGTATTTTTTACTGTTACTGAAGTGTTGTAAATTGATTTAAAAGTTATGTTGACAAATAGATAGTTCCAAAAGATAATACTGAGGGTGAGGCTGGGATAATGGGGGGCTGCAGTGAAGCAGAGGGAAAGAAATTTCTGGTGGATTATGGATAGTAACCCATTATGTTGGTAAATTCTGAATCATGGAGAAAACTGGTTTTCTTTTTTTAAAATTTTATTTATTTGATTTTATTTTACGTGTATGTGTGTGTTGCTTGCATGTAGGTAAGTGCACCCGTGTCATGCATTGCCCTTGGAGGTCAGAAGAGGCTGTCGGATCCCCTGGGACTGGAGTTACCGACAGTTGTTAACTGCCATGTGGGTGCTGGGAATTGAACCCAGGTCTTCTGCAAGAACAGCCAGTGCTCTTAACTGCTGAGCCATCTCTCCAGCCCCCTCTTTTTTCTTTTTAAAATGTATTTATTTATTTAGTGTGTGCATGCACTCAAGCATGTGCCCACGTGTGCCTATTGTTTGTTTTTTAATATTTTATCTTTTTATTATTTTTATTTCATGTGTGAGTGTTTTGTCTGCATGCATGTAAGTGCACTGGTGTTGTGCAGTGCTCATGGAGGTCAGAAGAGAGCATCAGATCCCCTGAAACTGGAGTTCTGGACAGTTGTTAACTGCCATGTGGGTGCTGGGGATCTAACCCAGGTCCTCTGCAAGCGCATTCAGTGCTCTTAACTGCTGAGTCATCTCTCCAGCCCCTTGTTTCTATTTTTAAAAAGGGATCTTGTAATGTAACTGTACCTGCCCAGGAACGTGCTATGTAAAAAAAGCTGGCCTTGAATTTGACAGTCTTCCTGCCTCTGCCTCCATGTTGTGTTAGCCACCATGCTTGGCCAGGGTACATCTTCTCACAAAGATGAGTTGATGGATTACTAAAATGTATTATTATGGGGCTGGAGAGATGGCTCAGTGGTTAAGAGCACTGGCTCTCTTGCAGAGGACCCAGCATCCACATGGCAGCTAACAACCGTCCTTAACTCTAGTATCAGGGGAGCTAATACCTTTTGACTTTCTGGGACACTGCACAATATGGTGCACTTACACACATGCAGGCAATACACATGTACACATAAAATAATAATAAATAAAAATTTGGGGGTGTCTTCCTGTAGCCCCAGCTGGCCTGAAACTCCCTATGTAGACCAGGCTGGCCTCAAACTCAGAGATATGGGATTAAAGGCATGTGTCACCATGCCTGGCTAGTAAAATGTATTATTACATCTATGGAATAGACACTTCCAGTGTTAACTAGTAGTTACAGTAGATTTGTAATCCTTCCTCTAGGCAGTTGACCATTTACTTGGAGAAAAATAATAAATAAATAAATAAATAAATAATGAATACAAATAAGTAAATAAAACATTTGAAAACTTCAAGAGCAACCACTAGCATTTGTTTAGAATTGAAAAGATTTTACAATGGTGAAGGTGGAAGCTGACAACACCAAGTGCTGGAGAGACTATTGTATGCCTGTAATGCCCACATATTACCTGTGGGAAAGCAAAAATAATTCCGCCTCTTTGAAAAGAGTTTGATCCATCCTTCCTTCCTTCCTTCCTTCCTTCCTTCCTTCCTTTCCTTCCTTCCTTCCTTCCTTCCTTCCTTCCTTCCTTCCTTCCTTCCAGCTGGCATCAAAGTCCGTAGGTAGCTGAGGATGATCTTATTTCTCTGCTTCTCCAGTTCTGGGATTGCAGGCATGTAGCCCACACCTGGTTTTTGTGGTGCTGGGGATCAGACTTAGGGCTTCATGCATGTTAGGCAAGCCCTTTGACCAACTAAGTTGCACCTGCAGCCCCTTAACAGTTCCTAATAAAGTTAAACATACAAATCATTTGACCCAGCAATTGTACTTGTAGATATTGCCCTTCCCCCCTGCCCCCCAAATGAAGATGTGTGTCTACATAGAACTCCATTCAATTTGCTGGGAATGTAATCTCAGTGACAGAACACTTGTCTGGCAAGTATAAGTTCCTAGGTTTGATCTCCAGCACCCCCCAAAAAGGTGGGAAAAGAAACCTGTATACAAATGTTTATAACAGTACTATGGCCTGGAATATTTGTGTCCATGCAATGAAATCCTGGTCTTTGCAGGTGATGATAGTAGGAGGTAGGGCCAGTTTTCTTAAGCTCTGAGCAGTACTTGTGGGGTCCTTGGACCTCAGAATTTATTTCTAACATAATGATACGTAATGTGGTATCTTTGAGGACAGAGCTTTTCTAGGAGAGCTTGAATCCCAGAAAGTTGACAGCCACCGAAGCTGAGCCTGACCCTGTAAGTAACCCTTTAGCTGAGCCAGTGACTTTTAGGTCCTTGACTTCCTAATTTGAAAAATTAAATTCATTAACCACAGAGGGTGAGTTTTAGAGAGAAGTTTATTATAGGGACATAGGCAGGAACGAGAGAGAAAGAGAGAGAGAGAGAGAGAGAGAGAGAGAGAGAGAGAGAGAGAGAGGTATATAGCAAGAGGGGTCACAGGAAGAAGGGTACCATCAAGCTTCTAGTATAAGGCCTTTTTAAACTGAACTCTGAGGGCATTGCATGACATGGGTGCACTTACATATATGCAGGCAATATACTCATACACATAAAAAATTTAAAAAACGACTTAAGGGGGCCAAGCATGGTGGCACACACCTTTAATCCCAGCACTCAGGAGGCAGAAGCAGGCAGATCTCCG